TTAAAACCAGTGCATTGTAAGCAGGATGTTATGGTTCCTTTGAATAGTACCTCACAGAACAAAACAATACCAATACCATCTCACAAGCTCTAATTATGGTCTGTCACCACATGAAAAACAATTGGGCTGGTAATTTTAAATTTCTACCTCAAATTTTCTGGGAGGCCATGGGCAGAGTGATGCAGATTATGCTCTGATCTCCAGGTATCAGTATGTATTCACAAAAGGGGTGTGAGAGCAGGAGCTCAGTTCAGCTGAAGTGGCTCCGTAATGTCCTACCATATTCGTTAGGTTCCAAAATGGCTAGAAACAGTAGGCCTTCATTAATCAATTTTATGTGCTCTACAGAAGTTGTAGGTGATGAATCTCCATGGAAAAGACTTCAAGGAAAAGCCCAACATTAGGTCTCCATTTTCAGCCCTGAAATAAGGCAAGGAATGCAGTTCTGGAGCACTGTTGGTCCAGTATATTTGTATCCTTGTCCAAAGTAATTTGCCACGGATTTTACAGTCCTCTTTTTGCTGTCATGATAGAGGACTTACCATATTTAAGTCATAATGCAGCAAATTAATAAAAAGCATTGATTTTTAGCAAACAAAAAGCTGAGCTAAAAAGGTAATTAAAACAGACCTTTCTCCCCTCCCAGCATGGGCTGCCTGTGAGTACTTCAGAATATTGCGAGTTTTACAAAGACAGCTGGGGTAAATACCTATAATTTCAAACTGCACAGTTTTTTTCATTAATCAACTGCAATGAATGTGACTCAAGTTACAGAACTAGTTGCAAGCAGATCTGCAATGGAAAACATATGCCAGATTGTGAAGGATCCCAGCAGGCAGTAACTGCTTGGCTGTAAACTGTGTGCAGGACAATTCTGCGTCCTGGTAAATTGTCCATAGTAAACTACCGCAGTTTAATCCATTAAAAGCGCGAAAAGAACAGAAAGATCCTCGGTATCTCCGAGTTCAAGAAGCATTTGGACAATGCTCTCAGGCACATGGTGTGACTCTTGGGAGGGTCAAGAGTTGGAGCTGATGATCCTGATAGGTCCCTTGCAGCTCAAGATATTCTGATTCCATGTGTCTTCTCTGCTGCAGGAAGTGAGCCATTGTCAACCCCTCACTTCAAGCATGTGGAAGGAGCCCCACGAGTAGCTAACACAGCCCACAGGAGTGTGCTGGCCATCACAAGGTGGAGTGATTTCTGGGAGTTTTAATAACAAGTCTGAAAAAAATTTATAGCTGAATATCAATTCAGTGAAGGAAAAAGATGTGGAGCTGTTTATACAACAAGAAAAAAAGCTGGGTGTAGGATTTTGTGTCCTCTGAGATCCACACTACTGCCTCAGCTCAGTGGTTTCCTCCTGACTGGTGTATACTTGTGCAGTAGAAATTTCAGCAGTTCCATTGAAATTGACATTCCCAGATCTAGTAAGACAAGACTACAAACAAGAAAAGTGAAATGCTAAAGAACTCCAGAATTTCTTATCTATCAAGACCTGCCAAGTCCACCTTGGGGGGGTTGATAAGGAAACAGCTCTTTGGAACAAATAAACGAATAGAAAAAAAGAAAAGAATAGGAGCAGGACTCAAGAGGACTCCCAGGACACTTGGAAATAACTGGCACTTCTCACATAACAGTAACAAAGTAGCAAAAAGAATCATTAAAGACAAATGCCTTACAGCAATGCATCTGATACTGTGGTAGGGTTTTTTGGGGCAGGTGGTGAGAAAAAACAGGAATGGGAAGTACAAGGGAGGTTTTATCAATGAGCTGCCTGCTGCTATAACATGACCTGTACCATTCCTTACATCAATCATTAACCTTTCCTCAGAAGATCCTGATTTTCTTTTAAAATGCCAGGTGTTAGGCTACATCCCTATCTTGTCATATCAAGAAGTCAAACTAATTATGCATTTTTTCTTACAATTAGTTTGTTTATACCATATAAAATACAAGGATCAAATCAGTATCTTAGGCAAAACATTTTTAGCACTAGAATTTTTGAAACAAAAGTTTAATTAGGTCTTAGATTAAAATCTGACTCTTCTGAAAACTATGGAAGAACTTTATGCAAGAAACTAAATAACATGTAACAAAACCACACTTCCCTGCAATACCCCCACAGGAAGATGTCTTTCCATAAAAGGGATAAACAATACTCTGGGGAGACTCAGGAATGCATATAGTGGTTAGTTTCTAACATAATACAATAAACCATTGTATAGGGATAACATTCTAGCAGTCAGTGGAGATGAAAGTAGAAAGGATTGAGTCATGGAGAGGCAGAATTAAGCAAACAGGCATATTTAAAACCCCTTGGTTATCTAGGTTATGTGGATTCAAAATATCCAACTTACTGGACCCTCAGCTCAGCAGTACCAGGATTTTTTTGTTACCAGGGTAACAAAACTCTATATGCTGGCCTTTGTAATCATATGATCAAAGGGACTATCCAATTTCCACCCACTATGTGCAGGCTGCCAATTTAAATCTTTACCACCCCTTGAACTGGCCAGCCAGGAGCGCAGCAACAGAGAGGGGTATGAACCATGTATGTACCGCCACGGACCTGGGACGTATTCTGTTTTCTGGATAAGCTACAAGAGAACACTGAAGCAAACATGCTGTGGCTACATTAGTAGAATAATTTACTACGTGCTTTAAAAAAACAAACATCAGAAACACCCAACCCAACCAAAAAAACATTTGCAATTGTGCTGCAGTAAGAGCATTGCTTTAGTAACGTCTCAAGAGAACCGTCCTTGCTATAAGCCTACCACATGAGCTACATTGTTTCATTATAGACTAGGAATTCATACAGTCATTAAGTATTAATTTTCTTTAAAATACTGTTATATTAATTGATTTGGTTAGCCATTTTCTCTACACAGCCAAGCTGTCTTTTAAATGTGGTATAAAACTGAGCAGTAAAGAGAAAACTGTGTTGTTGGCATTTTTTTTTTAATCTCTGTTGCCTTGTGTGGTCTGCCTTCATGAAGCAGAAAAGTTCAGGTGTACCATGCTAAATGCAAACATTATTTATATCACCTCATTCAGAATACACCTCTTCATCACCAACAACTATATGAGGCAAGCTCTAAAGATTTTTCCTTTCTTTGTATTTTGCTCACTAGTACAATGTAATAGCCAGAAAGGTGCTAGGAAGATAAATATGTATTTGATATGTAAATATTTACATTTGTTACCTTTTTCAGATAGGATGAACATAAACATGTCAGTTTCCTCACCTAGTCTGGCTTAGTAGTTAGAATAAACTAGTCTTCCCTATGCTAAATACCCAGGTGTCTAGAATGCTCCCAGCATTCTGTTCTCAGAATTCTATGTATCAGCTTCTATTCACCTCTCCAAGTCCATGCAGCTTTTTGCTGCTGTTTTTGGTTTCTGTTTTTGGTTTCCCAGTTTGTTACTAACCTTGCCATAGATGGAGTCCAAACTTAACATTAACCCAGCTGTGGCCTCACAACCACGGAACATTTGTTGAAGCAATGTAATTTCTGTGCAGAATTTTTTCTGATTGCAGCTCTCTTGGTACAAGATTCATGTTCAGTTTATAAATATCTGAAATCATGTATTTAAAGGAATCTTAGTACTTGGCTCTTACCTATGGTTTTTAGAGATTCTTAGAAACACAGCAGAGAGAAGCAGAAAATCCAGTGACAACCACAGCTCAAGCCTTAGTGTTTTCTTGCTCTTTTTCTTCATTTTTTATTAAACATTTTACTGCTGGATTTCTTCTTCTGTAGAGTGCAGCAAAAAGTACTTCCTTAGCAGATGCTAGTTCAAACACACCTTTTGCTTTACTCTTCCCCTTGAAAAAAAATTCTCCACATTTTAAATAGTTGTCTGGAAGAAGGAATACCAGTGTGTTCTTCCAGCTTGTTATGGAATACACAGAGCTTAGAACTGTTCCTTACAAATTTCACTTACCCTTAATGTTTTGGTAAAAATACCATTAGCAATGATTTTTCCTTTTTGGCTATTGAATGCAGAGGTTAATTGTTGTTGGGCTGATGGAAGGAGCTGCTGAAGGCTGTTAGCAGGGAAGCTGAAGAGCTGAAGTTGCTTAGAAAGCTCACAATAGATAGCTGACATATTTTTGCTTGCTGTCAGCTGATGTTCTCATAAGACCATAGACAGCATGAGTGAATGTAGGAGGAAACAATACATCTGCAGACACTGGCAGACAGCATTGCTTGCCAAATTTGGCCACAGTTCCTTTAGATAAATAATTTCTCAGTGACATGCTGTGTTGAAATTATATAAACAGCAAAAATTACAAGACCTGGGCCCCAGGGTCTTGAGGGTTTCAAGATTTTCTGCAATCAATATTCTGACATCTGCAAATATTTTTCCTTAACAGCTGATGCCAGAAACAGAAAATAACGGCAATGTTGCTCTATGTGTTCAAGGTTTTGAAAATACTGAAATCTTGTCCCTTCAGCCCCAGTCCTGGTCAGGATCTTTGGAATATCATAACCATCAGCTCATATGAGAAGGCTTTTACAAGAGTTATCAAAGCAGCAATCTTTCCTCAGAATGGCCTGGAACCTCTTACAGCAACTCCATCAGCATGTCAAGAAGTGTACATGGAAAAACACTACTATGCTTCATTCTCCAGAATTATAAAGGCGTTTAGAGAAGCTTCTGTTGAACATGATGTAGCTTACTTTGCACATTGAAGACACAGGGTTTTCCTCCTTAGGAGCACACAATAGCTGTCTAACTCTGTGCTAAGAGTTCTTTGATGAGTAACATAGTTTCACTAAAACAGTCATACACACTAGATTGATCCAAAAAGCGTCTTCTGTCACTGAGGAATTTATGCAGAAAACCAGTGTGCAAGAGTGCCTGAACAAAAACATCCCACAAGAAAACCTTACCTGACTTTTATAGAAATATCTCTAGACAAGCTTCTGAAGTTATAAAACCAAATCATTTATTGAACAAGTATTTTTTAAGAAATCAGTCTCCTTAAGAGTAATCAAACCTCTGTGTGGCACCCGAGACATCCTGAAGGCAGCAGCTGTGGGATGCTGACAGTTACCCATGGCACTGAGGAAACATGGGCTATGCAAAATGAGAAACTGCATTTATTACTACTGCCTACATAGGAAAGGCCAGATAGGAACAAAATTGTACTTTTCAAAGTTATGTTTTTCTTTTGATGATATAATCTCCAGCACCTGGTCTTTCCTCTAGCAACACTCCTGAAGTAATACTGTTCTCTGAAAATAGTCTGAACAAAATGAATACACTTTATTCCATTTTCAGTCCCCCATGTACTAAACAAGAACAAAGAGGTATGAAAGTACAGAAAAAAAGTCTCTCAAACACTTTCTTATTTCAATCTCACCTTAAGGCAAAGTTGTAAATTTTAAGGGAATATCTCAAGAATTAAGCATAGAGCTTATGAAACTCTTTCTTTCTTTGTTGTTTTTGATCAAAGTTAACTTTCTTAGAGAACAGGTATGCACAGCAATAACCTCTCAGAAGTGTCTTAGGATAAGACCATGTTAGTGATGTTTACTTCTGCATCTGCAAGTATTTCTTAAACTGACATCTACAGTCTAACTGTACAAGACAAAGTTTCAGTAGTTCAGAGCACAGTGTGATGTTTTTTCAATGAGTGTAAATGTTGAGGGCAACAAGGTAAAACTGCCTCAGTATTTCATTTCCACACAAAATATATGAAAGTAATAACAGAGTAAGTTATCTTCTCAGAGCCTTATGTACTTAAAAAAAGGATGCAGCAAAGCCTCTTTTGCAGTTATTCTTGTTGCAGGGTTTAAGTCTAGTAGCTTATCAAGTAGGTCATAAGCTTCATCAGGAACCTGATCCCATCCTTTCATGTCAGTTGTCTTCATTTCCAAAGCACCATCACCTTCCTGAGAACTCTGTGAATGTTGAATTTGTTTTCCAAGTGTCTCAGGAGCACAGGGTTTGTCTGCTGCAACTGGCAAATCTGTGCTATTTTCAGACCTGCTGGGCCCTTCCCCCTGAGATCTCTTACAGCTGCTATTTGTTCCTCTCAGCTTTTCACAGAGGGTTCGTAGGTTTTGAGATGGGACTACTTGGGTACACACAACTGATTTTCCTAGGGAAAAAAGTTGTATAGGAAGCCACATTTTATTATACTTTCTATGCAACTCTCAAAGTAGAACCAGCATGAAAGAAAAAACATCCCAAATTATCAAAGAACCAAATCCACCCCCCATGCCTCCACACCAGCCCTGCTGTTATAGCAGCAGCCCCTGAAAATGAGTTCTGCTCAGAACTAAGAGCTCTAGGCTATGTGAAGTTATGTAGTGACAGGTTGTCAGCCACTCTGTACACCAACTTTTTGCATTTCGCTGCCATTTAAACAGAACTGAAGACAATTAAATACCCTGATTTTTACACCTCTGGAAAACAAAAATTGATGCTGGCAGTTACAAGTCCAGGTAGCAAATGCTGCAGCATTTAGCCTACAAGCAATTAGGGGAATGGTTATTTGGGTATTTTGTGTTTTGTGGTGATTCTATCTTTTTTAAACAGGCCAGTTGTCAGGTATTGGGCTTTTGGGTTTTCAGCTTGTTTGTTTTACTAGGCCTTTTGAGGGAAGGGCAGGGGAAAAAGCAAGGCTTACATCATCTAAATATTAAGTCATATTGACTTAAGCCTCCAAGACAAATTTTGTAGGAATAGAAACACTGTCTCAAGAATTCTAACCAAATGCCAGTAGGAAACATTTAGTTGGCATACTTCACCTCAAGTAGCCCGGATTTAGTGAAAGGCAGTAAATAGACAGGTTGGGAAAACTATGACATAAAGTACCCCATACACACATTGTAAAAGACAGAAAAACACAAAACTGTCTTAAAATCTGTCAATATAGACATGCAAAAAGTGTGATTTATTTCCAAAATTACTCTCAAAACTAAAAATATATTTATATACGCAAAAAAAAACCATTTATTGTAAATCACAGCATTAAGAAACGTTCTCCCCCTTCCCCCATAATTAAGGTTTGCATACCAAAAGTTCTAGCAGCCTCAATGGTTTCTCTGGATCCACGAACTGTCATGATTTGTGCCAAAGCAGTTAAATCATCACTTGCTTTGAAAAATGGATACCGTCCACTGAGTAGAGAAAGGAATATGATTCCTGCAGACCACATGTCTATTGCTGCAAAGGAAAACAAATTTATTAACAACTAAAGTCATGATTTCATCACAAACAAAATCTCAACTTTCTTTAAAAAGAAATTATGATCTGAAAAGTTTCTATCAGCCAAAATTATGTTCTGAAGTACTTCTTAACTCTGGTCACATAGATAATACTTCAGACAAGAGTGGAAATTACTGTAACTAGATTGAAGAATAATTTCCTTCTTTGATGCAGAGGGAGTGTTTTTCGTATAAGTAATTCCATTAACTTGCTAAACTTAAAATGGACCAAAACAATGTTTGAAGTTGTTTTACCTGGGAAGATGAGAGGGGGCAAATGAAATGGCAGGTTTGATACATATTTAACTTTACTTCACATGAAGAAAACCTTATATACGGGTCATAAACAAAAGACAACTCACAAATATTAATGAAAATATTTTTGGGGGATTGAGGCTGGCATAGGTAGGCAGTACTAAGAAATTTCTTATTATGAGCTTTGTTCCTCTCTAATATGAACTCACTTGACAAGATAGGCAGTTTAAAAACTGTAATAGTTCAGTTATTCATCACTTTCATCGTGTTATGAAGAATACAGAGTACTCTGAGGATAGAGGCCAAAGCCTGATGGAAACTTCAGTACTGGAAGTTACAAGAATACCTGTCCGCCATGATTTTTTTGGCTCACTAAGGTGCACATTTTGAGAAATGGCAAGGAAAGTGAAGGAGAGAGTTTGAAGGATCTCAAACTCTGAAGAGAAAAATTAACAGTTGGAAAATAGAGGCATATTCATCTTAGTCCTATTCAAAAAGTAAGTAGCAAAATAGGCAGTAATTAATTTGGACATTTTAATTAGAAACACTCTTAGCACAGGATTTTAATCCTAAAAAAAAAGTATTAAGTTGACTTTAGTTGCAAAAACAGATCTTATATGTATTTTATTAAAAAACAAAAATCTAACTTAATAATTTGCCACAATTTACAGTGGAAAGGTTTTCTGCCTTCAGCATAGTTCCTGTAAAAAAGTTTTAGTATCATCTTTGAAACAGTGATGTAGTAATGCTATCTGTTTGAGGGGCTGTGCATCCCCCTGATGATGTGACTGGGTAAGCTGGAGTAATCAAGGTCAAGACCTTGGAAAATATTTAATTATATAACTCCTGCTGAAATTAAAAGGCATTATATATCTGGTGGGCAGTAAATCCTGGCCCCACAATTGTGATAGAGCTGTGATCATCAGCAGAGTGCAAGATCTTGTGGAATGACATCAAAATCATGATTCCTCCCTAAGGCTTTGTCCAGTGTTATCCAGCAAGTGAGGAAAGGGGAAGAGAGGGAAAAACCAAGGGAAAGAGTAACTGGACCTGTGTAACCTCAACTTGGGAGCTTAGGTTGTACTCCAGCACTGTGAACCTGGGTCAGATGTGCTACAGTAGTTCTGGGTAGAGTCAGTTGGATTTAGCCAGTAACTGGCAGGAATACAAGGTGACTCCAGCAGCCCCAAATGAAAGTGAGCAGTAATACTAGTTCAAATAAAACATCATATTATAAATATTAGTATTAGTCTACCCAGTTCTAATTAAGGCCCTTGTTGACATACAGCAGCAGCTCAGCACCACTGACTCAGTCCAGGGATGTCTGTGCCATACCCAAGGGTGGGTCCAGATTTACCCCCACTTTATAATCCTGCTCCTCATTACCCCAGAGAACAGAAAACCATCTGAAAGCGTGTTTAACACCAGCATGTGACCAAGATTGCCTAGGTATGTCTTCTTTCTGCTTCAATCCTGTCTGGAGAGATTCAGAGATTGTCTAACTCTTCCTAGATTTCTGGATGACTGCTAGCCCATAAAAGCTGGCTGTTACAGCACAGACACAAGAACTTCAAACAAGCTGCCATACCTTTGATATCCCACAGGACAGATGTTGTTTCAAATGGCAGTAAGATATCCAGGCATAAGCTGATCAAATATATTGTTAATTCTATTTTGAGTGTGTATACACACTTTAACTACTAAAAATTAACAACTTTCTCAAAAGATATTCAGAAAAAAATGGCTAAAAGCTTCTATTCTAAATCCAGTTTTTGAGGACATTTTTATTTTTGGGTAAGTCAGAGCTCCTGGTCATATACCAAATGTTTAATGGTTAACTGTTTCTATTGGTTCTCCATCCTGCAGATAGGCACAACCTCTCCCACCTTGCCTGCACCAGCTAATGCATTAACCATCCCGCTGCCCTGCCCTGATATTTACCCAAACCACTGACTCTTATTAACTAAGTTTTAACACAGGGAAATTATAATTTTAGTTTAAAATAATTATGACATTTACACACCAGCTATTTAAAGCAATAGCAAAAAGAAAAAAAAATGATAAAAAGTCATTAAATAATGCTTTCTAGAACACATTTGCAATTACACTATTAACTATGCCTGATATTGCAGCATATGTTACAACCTGCCTAGAAAAGGCTAAACATAATGTCCTCTCTTCCCAGAATTTATTCAAGATTTTTCTTGGATAAGTAAGCCCAGAAACTTCATTAAAAAATCTTTTTTCTTTTAAAATATATTGTATTTAAACTTTTAATTAAAATCAGGAAATACTTGAAAAGCATTAGAAGGGATGGAAAATTAATTTCACAAGTTAAAAAATTATCCCATAAAAAAGACAACAAAATATGCATAGGAATGAAAAGGTGAAAAAAGCCATTTGTTTGAGTCTGTTGGGCAGTACCTGTGGTCTGAGTGGGGCATTTTGTTAATACTTCTGGTGCTCTGAATCCAGGTGTTCCTGCCCTGGGAGCCACTTGCTGACGCCTTGTAATAAGAGACAAATATATTTAGAACATAAAAGCTTATAATTAAGTTCTTAATAATATTTACTATTGTTTTTTAGGATATACTTGTGTAAGATGTGTAAACAGCCTAACCCTGCTTTATTCAAGTCTTACAGAAGTTTGAAGCATCTTATCTGGCATAAAATTATAAAGATAGACACGTAATTGCCTTATTATCTGTTATATTGTAATTATATTATCTAGCATAAGAAATTACCAGAGAAATACTTATTGTATACTTATTTCACAATGACCTTTTCTTAGTTTCATCTAAAAGAAGTGTCAGTTTTGTTAAGAGCTTGTTTTCATGGGGAACTTTGAAGTTGAGGCAAATTAACCCAAGGCAATTAACCAAGGCAAAAAGCATATTCTTGAATGTGGATGCTATGGCTTTGTGTTAGTCCAGAGCAAACTAAGGCTCGCTCTGAGTGTTGCCAAGAATTTACTTTTTGTTAGATTAACTAAAAGGTGTGAAGTTAGTATTTTAAAAATCATGTGTGGATAAAAGGCAAGAGTAGATCATAATCAAAACTTCCTGTAGAGGGATGGCATGAGGAACTGGAACAGGTTACCCAGAGAAGCTGTGGATGCCCATCCCTGGCAGCGCTCAAGGCCAGGTAGGATACAGCTCAGAGAAACCTGGTCTAGTGGAAGTTGCCTCAGCCCATGGTAGGGGATTTGGAACAAGATGACCTTTAAGATTCTTTCCAACCTAAACGATTAGTTTTTCAGATGAGCAAAAACAAAACAATCATGCTTCCTTTTTATTCTACATTTCATGATTTCCAGAATTCCAGCTGTTGGTATAATTTAGGCCTATTAGGTAACTACTAAATGAGAGAATTTAGAACACTTTTCTAAGTGTTGTAATTAACTCAAGTGATTTTCTACAACACTTGTAGGTGAATAAATAAATACAAAACCAAGGAAATAATTACCAGTGAATCTTTCTACCTGCAGATAGCAGTGAACTAATTCATGAATTCCATGAACTATTCTTGCTTAAAAAGAACATACTCAGTGTTTTAAGAGCTGCAGAGATCAAATGCTATCTCTTCACTTTCTAAATCAGCAGTCTAGTAAATCTAAGTTTCTGACTTGGCTGGACAGCAGAGCAGACAATTTTACAGCATTATCAAAGCAAATTACCTTGAAAGGCAAACACTGCAAACTCTATCTGTTGCATAACAGTCACAGAGCAGGTTTAAAGGGCAACCACTGGCAGCTTTCCTGGCTGCCCCATTGCTCACAGTTTTGGTAGAAATAATCTTCTTCTTTGTTACTAACTTCTTGGATGAAACATCTATAATCTTTGATTGTTTTATGAGCTGCAATGGAGATATTTTAGAGAAGGTGACATATTTAAGAAGTTTCCCCTTATGTATAGATAGGACAATTCCTAAGAAAAATTTTAGAATAGACAGCAAACCTCTTTAACATTATCAAAAGTACTATAAAACAGACACTGGAACTTTCTAGATAGCCTGATTCCCTCCCCTTCCCCTTCAGAAGGCATTTTCAGTGTTTACCAAAAAAACAATATATATAAGACATTCTAAAGCTACAAGACAAGTATTTTTCAACTTAGTATAGTGTTTCAAGAATTTTTTGGCTCAATGTGAGAATAAGAAAAAAAAATATGAGCAACACACAGACACTAAATACCATAAACCAAACCCTCTAATTCATTTGGGGTTTCCCCCTTGTCATATTGAATACTAATTACAAAAAAACAGTTACAAGTTTTATCCACAGCTTCAACTGCAAAATAATTTTTTTAAAAATTTCACAAGATAAGTAGGGAGTGGTTGAGCACTGGAACAGGCTCCCCAGGGCAGTGGTCACAGCACGAGCCTGACAGAGCTCAAGAAGCATTAGGGCAATGCTCTCAGGCACATGGAGTGACTTTGGGGCATCCTGTGCAGAACCAGGAGTTGGACTTCATTCTCATCAAGGGTCCCTTCCAACTCAGTTTATTTTGTGATTCTATGATTAGCTGCACAGATAGATGCATAGGAAAAAAGATTAACTTAGCATCCAAACAAGATCAGCTAGGGAGACAGCTACAGAACTCATTGTTTAAGAGCTTCAAGAGGTACTGAAACAGAAATGAAAAATTCTTTGAGCCTTTCAAGAAAGACACATTTAACAGTCTGCTCAGAAATCTTTAGTTCCATAACATTCTGGAGCAGTGCTCATTCTTACAGACCAGTTCTATAATTTTTAAAAAATGCAGCAGATTGATCCTGCTGATGAGTCAATACTTCTTACTTTTGTGCTTGAGTTCTCCTGGAATGTGGAGCTATAGACATTGAAATTCCTCTCTCCAAAGACAGAGCGCTGGACAGAATGGTGCACAGAGTCCTCCTACAATACCAACAACAAGGACAATAAGGATCCTGTTTAACAGGCATCTGGGTACTGACAGTTCAAAAAGAAAAGTGTAGAGTGTCATAAAACAAGAACAGGGGCATGTAAGTCATTTTCAGGCATCAGTTTACTGTGGATGAAGAAACATCGTCTAGACAGAACAGCAAACATGTTTACAAAACCAATCACACCTCCGAAGTGCCCCAAGACAATCTCAGTGTAGTCTGTGCTGCATTTGTTATGCAACTAGTAACTAAACATAGGTGAATGATTATTGGCTTGGGGAAGAGTTTCACCATCCGTGTCTCTGAAAAAGGATTTAAGGCTGTCTAAATAGTAACTTATGCTAGGGTTTTATACAGCCTTCAGCACTCTATTACATCTAACAGATAATGATGAAGCCAATAGTTATGTAGAAGTAGCTTCTCAGATATGAACACTGTGATGCTGTGCAGGCTCAGCTTCTGCGCAAGTACTGCATCTCCCCCTGTTGGATGGATGAAGGAACACATTAAACATATACAATAGCATTAATGAAAGAGACTGAGAACCTTTCCTCCTCTTCCTTGTTTCATCTGTACTTTTGAAAGTGAGCTGGACCTTCTATCAGCTGCTTTTGAGGCTGACTGTTGAGCTATCTGTTTAGGTGCTGCGACACAGACAGAAACCCCATTTCTCAAGGCTACAGCAGGATTAGTTTGCAAGCAACTTCCCTGCTGGTCTTCAGAGTGGGCAGATTTAAGAAGCTCAATTTTCGTATCAGGGGTTCCTTGTGCCAAGCCAAAATCTACCAAGGCATACCTGAAAAGACACAAATTCAGAATCAGGAGTCACAAAGTATCTATTAATCATTCAATTTACTATTCCTTACTTATCTTTCTTTCACATTTCATTCAATATTGCTTATCTGTACTGTTGCCAGCATCACAGTCCTATTTTCTTCCTTCTCCTCCTACTGTGTAGATAGCACCCATCTCACCTATCCCCTCAATGTTTTTACCCTATACCACTGTTCATTGTTTCTTGTCCCAAAACCTTCTCAAGTACATCCTTCCTCAAAAGATGTTAGGAAGGTATTTCCAGCAACTCCTTTTTGAAGTTCTAGTCCTACAGCCCTGAATCTTCAGCCAGCAGTCATGTACAAGTGACTTGACTCTTGCCAGGACTCCCACAGGCAGAAGACAAAGGTGGCAGTGAAGACAGACCAGACCAACAGAGCTTAAAGTTTTGCCAGACTTCTGGCAAATACTACTGGAATTTACTTTAGTCTTCAAACAGGTAAGACTACATTAGTTCACACTTCAGATCTATCTCTAAAAGAATTATGTTTACCTACAACCAGTACAGAGATAATCCATCTGTCCCTGAGTCTCAAACTTAACTCCACGCCTCTAAATGAAAAGTAGACATTAAGGCTCAAACAAATGCTGGAAGAGCAAAATGGCAGTACGTATTAATTTTGACAGATTTTAAAAAAATAAAAAAAACAGTATTTCTCAAACTTTTGTGCTTGCAGTTTGGAGAAATGCAATCAAATCTCCCCTACTAATTTTCACTGCAAAGAATCACAGAAACATTTAGGCTGGAAAAGACCTTTAAAATCAAGTCCAACTGTTAACCCTGCTCTGCCAAGTCCCACAAAACCATGTCCTTAAGTGCTGGATCTACAGGTCTTTTAAATTCCTCTAGGGATGGTGACTCAACCACTTCCCTGGGCAGCTCATTCCAATGCCTGATAAACCTTTTTCTAATATTGAACCTAAACCTTCCCTGGTGCAACTTGAGGCCATTTCCTGTCATCACTTTTTACTTGGGGATGTGCATCCTGCTACAACCCATCAGTGCTTTGCCTTGGACACACTCCAGCACCTCAGTGTCTCAACTGTACAAGCACAATGCTCACAAATACAGCTGTAGGACTGCTAGCACTGAAGCATCCTGTCCATTTCAACTCTTCACATAGAAGCAGTAACTCACTTTCTACAATCTTTAAATTTTGTAACTTGCAGGCAAAAGAGCCAACCCTACTATTTATAAACATTAATTCAATGTAAGGTGAAAAGAGCCCAAAGTCATCTATCTTATCTGTATCAGTTTTACTCTATTTAATATTAAAAATGTACAAAGATCATTCTATACATCACAAGTTATAATTTAACTCTTTTTAAAAAACACCCATATTTTATTCTTCTCATTTTTATTTCAAAACGTAGTACTTAGTAGTAAAAATCTTCATTTTATCAGGTATTTGTCACTCTATGAAGCAGATATTCCATTAAGTAAAAAAAAAAAATCCTCCCTTCTTAAGTTCCTTAACAGTGAAAGAAAAATTTTACAAATAAACCCCCATGTTTTTAACTTAATTATTTAAGCACATGTTATGCAGCTGGAAGGAAAGAAGCCTAAAAGCCTAATTGACTCTGTTCTGCCAAGGCACACATCCCCAGATGAGATCACAGTATGGCCAGACTCACTTTTTTAGCTGCCTGTTGTAGAGGAAGTTGCTGGGCTTGACGTCACGGTGAACAATACCGAAGTGATGAATGCGCCTCAGTGCTTTAAACAGATTAAACATGTATTCCCTCACTTCTTCGAAGGAAAGGGAGTTCAAAATGTCCTGAAAGATTATTTGTAATTTGTAGAATTGTGGAATAATTATGCACCTGCTTTTAATTAAATGCTTGACTACATATCAAAAGTCAGAGACTCACCAAGAAGGATTCATGCTCCAGATATGGCATAACAATAACAACATGATCATTTTTCCTGAAGCAGTATTTAAGTCCCATAACATTATCTTGCCCCCTAGAAGAACAGTAATGTTATTGAACATCAACCAGAAGGTGGATGCTTATTTTCCTTTATGTCTTAAAAACTTCAGTCAGGCTTTCTTTTATAATTCTGATTTATATTTTGACAGCAGTCTTATCAGTAACTAATCAATAGTTGTGCTCTTGCTGCTCAATGCTCCATTCTGCAGTTTGGAATGAGAACTCAGCAGATTATCTGTGGGGCTGTGGTTTGTAGTTACCACTGCAATTAATACAGGCCCTGACTTTCATGATCTTACTATACTTTAAGAAGGTGCTATTCAGCACACTCTGCCAACAAGTATTCATTCCTAAAACCACATTTTCTAATGAAGTGATTCTTTTTTCCAAGCATTTCAGAACAGGAACTTTGTTACCACAGAAATATATAATGGAATTTTTCAGCTGGTAAATAGAGTACCACCCCCCCAACTGAGACTAGCAGCAAAGGGCATCCAATTACAGGTGAGATGCCCTTTTTGTTATTTGCCCTCAATAAAAAGAATATACATGAATGTGGTTAAAAATCAATAGAAGTGCCAAAACTTAAGAAGTACGGAACAGTGAGACAACATTCAGCAGTTTAGTCACAGCAATCATAATTTTTTTTGTTTATCTACCCTGCCACTGTGAGGCACTGAAGTTCAGCAGCTATTCGCAGAGGGTGGCTGGTTGGAATCAAGTGTTTCAGAGCCATTTGTTCCTCATGTCCTGTTTGTAGCTGTGCTGTGGCCAAGTAAACAGAACTAAATGTACCTGTAAACAAAGGAGAAAGACATTGTCTTCAACATTTTTAATTAGGTCAATGCAGATTTTTACAGAAGTGATCTAACTGTTCACGATCCTGCAGTACACTTGATACTACATCAAAAGCAGGTTCTGGAAGATAAAAACTCAGTTCTTTTTTTTCTACTACTGAATATACTGATCTTGTATACAAGTTTTTTATGTCAGTAAAAATGCAAATATAACACTGTCTAACTTGCCTGGGACACAGTGCTCTTTGAATGTAAATTTCCTATCTTTGATTTGCTTTCTTGTTTAGGTAGCTTACTTTCATCTGACATCTAACTCCTCTCCCTACAATGTAAGAGGACTATATAATGCTAATCTGGAAAGCACTGCTGGTGCTATTCAAAGCACTTCTGAATTTGCTACATTTTCCTTAATTCTGTACCTTATCTATAAAGTAAGGCTTCCAACATGATGTGTAACTCCACTGTTTATTTGCCCAGAGCATTTTACCACACCCAATGTGATGCACTTGCTTGAGAAAGGGAGTATTGGGACTGTATGATAAACTTACCCAGCCATTTAATTTTAAGGATATCCTAATAAACCTCTTAGGAGGTTAATTTATTCTAATGATCTGAGATATCTGAACATACAAGTTGAACTGTCCTTCCATATGAATAAAGAATGGAAATTGCTTTTAAGTAATGTGTTTGCCTCATGCTGGTTCAACAGTCTGAGTGCAAGCATTCAGCAAAATCTAAATACTTCATGCAACCATTAAAAAAAATCCTCAAACAACTTAGAGACCCATACCTTCAACAGAACTGATTGCAGTAACAAGGGTTACTGAATGACTTCGGACATTATGTTTGGTGGTGAGAACTGCTAAAATGAAAGTGATTCCAGAGAGGATTCCTAAGTTGAAGCTTGTTTTCTCAAGATGTTGTTGAACTGCAAATGGTATTTTTTTAAAAACATTGTTTGCTCCTAAGAGTAAAATCAGAGTTTTTTTTTAAAAAATCAGAAATTTTGTTTAATTACTCTTTTTTATGATAGGTATAAGTCTATTTTTTTTATTTTTGAAATTGTACATTCACGTGGGGAATGGAGCTGGGGAGTTTTTAAGTAGTTTGCCAAAAACTCTTAGGCATCTAACCTGCTGCACAGAAATTCCATCACAAAACAGATGCTAAACAATCCAGCTTCCCATCACCATCTTTTGTTTTAGAAGTGTGGAGTGTCACAGGGCATTTCAGAGATTAAATGGGTGAAGTTTCAAAAAGTGTTGAAATCCTACATTCAGAAGTACCTGAATCTATTTATAGTCATGCCTGACACTAATTTAAGGTATTTGCATATATACTGTCTTGTTGAAGGCAAGGTGAACACAAGTATTCTAAAATTTGATACTGTATGTCTTCCAAAATGAAAAAGTTCTTCATTTTTTAAGTAAAGCAGCTACAACCTTTCAGTTTCCTCATCTATTTCTGCCCAAGAGATTTTAGTGGAAACAAAGCTAACTTAAGGAACACCAATTAAGTATGTCAAAACACAGTTACATTTAAGTAGATTTCTCACGTAAAGGAGAAAAATAATGGATTTTTAAGACTATTTACTTTAGTCCATCTCAAAAAGTTTTTAATTGCCAAAATTGGAATGTTGTTTTTCTAAAGGGCTTTAATATACCAGATTTTCAAGAAAATATCTTTAAAATGTTCCTAATTCATACACTCAGCAACATATTAGAATCATGTGTGCTCAGCAGCATATTAGAATTCCTACAGAGACCGTGTAGTACGTCAAAAAAATGCATTTGGCTTAGATTGTGTATATTGGGATCTTAGATTTATACTTTTCAAATTAGAAATGCCAAAAGAAATTTTAACTCTAAGCAAGATAAAATGAAACATTTACCTTCTCCAATTTTTTCCTTTATTTTGAACACATTTACAAGCTGTGGAACTGCTTCATAAAGCTTCTCAATATCTTTTTTTACTGCTGCTGTGGAAAGAATGGAGAAAATAAGTTAGAAATTTTTGATTCAATATCTGATCTATATTGGAGATCACAAATTACACTCCATGGGACTGTGGATTCACATACACAGAGGAAAAACCAGCACAAAGGTATCTTATCCTGCTGACATGACCATGTGGACACTTGATATTGTTGTTCTTTATCACACTCCTTTACAAGCTGCAGCATTTAGACAATTATATTTTGCTTATCTGACACATAACAGATTCTGAGAGGGCAGAAGCCTTCTGGATCGTAGGACACCTACAGCTCATCACTGTTTATGTTAGATCAGCAATTTGACAGAAGACAAAACTGTAACAGTTGTTTCTGTAAGCACAGGTGCAAATCCATCAGACGCAAATCACAAATACAGAAAAATAGTTGTTTTGTAGATATTTTTAAGATTGGTAATGCAATCTTTCCCAATATTACTTAAAATAGTGGGCATCAAAGCCCATGTTTGTTCTGCATTTAGGTTGCTGCACCTCATGCTGCCATCACTAGATGGCACGACAAGGATGCTGTACTGCATTATTTCAAAAAAATCATGTAGCTTTCCATTCAGTTTACAAATCCTTGTTGTTCAAGTGTTTTCTATACCCCACATAAGAATTCACTTCTTTTGAAGCTATCAATTATGTGGAGACTTTGACTAATTTCTGTGGAGCAGGGGTAAAGAATATTTCAGTATACAGAGCTAAACACAAACTGGTATTTGAAAAGTCAATCAAATTAACAAATTTGTATACATTTTCCATCCCAAAAATAAATAATAAATTAAATTTAGCATAAACAGGTAAATTGTAATGTATTGTACCTGTAAACATAGACTATGTTCACCAGGACAGCAAATCATAAGCAATAAGAACTTAAAAAAAAAAAATCACAGATATGCTAGAATCAAATTATGGATTAGCATGCATCCCCAGCCTTCTATGTAGCTTACTTTAAACAACAATAAAATTCCCTGAAGAACATTTTCTTCCAGCTAAAAACCCAATAGATCAGCTAGTAATTTAAATTATAGTTACCTTTCAATTTTAATTTTTTTATTTCAAAATTTTTTAAAAACCAACATACTAAAAATGCTTCTGAGAACTGAAACCTGCTGCCTCTTTTACTATCCATTTATAATCCTTTTTTTCTTTTAAATTGTTCTCTCTGCTTCTTCAAATTGTTTATTTTGGGAAATATTTCAGGAATGAGCATGTCCTAAGGTATATACTAGCAATCACAGAAAACAAACTCAACAACTGCTATAGAATCTGCCAGATACTCCATTTTGTCCAACACTGAATTCAGATTCCTCCCTGGAGAAAGATGAAGCTTTCAGACCATTTCAAGCAGGGTGGCAGAGGCTGCAGTGCCTACCCAAGGCACTGACAGCATTTAGGAACTCAATGCAGCTGCTTGTGTGAAAGAGAGAAGTGCTGTAAAAAGTCAGTAACTGTCCTTGTTGAAAGCAGTATAAACATCACCTGGTCAGTTCTGGGGGCCTGAATCCTCAGCTGGGTATAGAGAACATACAGCCATTGTGCCATCAGGAAAATAACACTAATAATATTAGCCAGTATTTTCTGTAAGCATATTTTAAAGTGATTTCTTCTCATATTTGCAAAGCAATACAAATTCAGCATCAATCTGGGCATGGATAAGCAGAAGCCTGAGAGAGGATTATATATTTTTTAAAAATCAGAAGCCATTATATCTATAAACTGGCTGACCATCAGGGATTCAAGAGCAAGCACTGTACAGAAAGTGAAGGCTCAGGTACACAAAGAGACTCAGAAACAACCAATAAAATATCTATCAGAGCACACAATCTTAGTTCAGCTTCTACAAAGAGAAGCAAGAAGAGTGTTTTTATAGACATAAACACATCTAAAGATATTGAAGCATAAGGCTGGTGATTATATAGATTAAAAGGCAAAATACTGGGTTTGTGTATTTGTCTGGTCAGTTTTATTCTCAAGGTCTGGCTTTTTTTTCATTCTGGCATTCTCTTACATGTTCTGTAATACATAAATAGTAGGTTTAGCAAATTGTGACAAAATACTGTTGCTGAAGTTTTGTAATGCACAAACAGCAGGAATAAACTTAAAATCAAAAGCCACCTCAAATGTTTTAATTTCATTAATTCTTTATGAATCAGGATCACATACAGACAGGCTTAAAATCAATACTGAAATTTCCCCTAAGTGGTGTAGCAGCATGTCAGCAACAAAATACAATGTTCACAGTCCCTATTTCAGCACATACCTGAAAGCTTGTTCTTTTCAAGATTCCCATGGAAGTCTTCAGCCTGCTGAGGGTGCTGTTCATCACAGGGAGACTTCAACACCGTCTCCATTACAAAACAAGTCTCAAGTGAAAAAAATCCAAGACTTCAAGGGCCACTTCTGGACACCTGGGGGAGCAAGCATATCTGGTATGACACTTCCTAGCCCTGCACTCAGCTCCTGAGATGAGATTTAGGGAGACTGAGGAGATCCTCTGTGCTACCTAAAATAGTGTCATCCACCAGCCCAGCAAAACAGTAAAACAGTAAAGCAATGAGGATAGAGGGAGGAAGGGAAGGAAGACTGCAGGATAAGCTTAAATACAACTGATTTTCATCTCTCTTGTTTCCTCATTCACATTAAAGCATTGTCTTTTCCCTGAAGTTTGCTTTGAAAGACAAGGAACTGATGTACACAGAAATAGCTACACTGTACACCGCAAAAGCTATAAAAGGCCAGAAAATAGGAAAAATTATAAGAGAAAAAAATACCATCTCCATCCAAGAGATCCGTCCCTCCTAGATACGTTCAACATAATGTGTAGTTATTCATTGCCCTCCCAGCACAAGAAAAATAGAATATGCTTATTCTGAAATGCTTCTTCACAAATCTTGGAAACACTACATAACCATGTGAACTAATAAAGTCCACTCATATTGTACGCTCAAAAAAACCCTGATAATCCCTTTTCAGGAGCAAAAGAGTGGCAGGGATTCCCAGGGCAGAACAGCCAGTGATATATGAGCCGGGAAGCAGCAGCTCTTACAGTTACTCAAAACTGGTTCCATCCAGAAACTTTCCTTCCTTGTTACTTTACCAAACCTTCGAAGTATTGGATGAACTTTTCCACACGGGGGAAGCAAATTCTGAAAAACTCCTGATTAAAGAATACATCTGTTTCAGCTATGGAGCTAGAAAGACATTTTGCCCCCACAGAATTTGAGCTACCTTTAGTCTGTCATCCTTGTGTAACAACAGGGACAAGAGACAGAAGCCGTCCCTTTTTGAGCCCCGTTTTTTGCGGAAGCTTTGATGGAGACGGACTTGGAAACTACTGGAACGCGGTTAGAGATGGTTCTAGTCTCTTACAGGTAGCCACTCCCTCTGCTAGTGAGGAACAGGCAGATTAGCGTGTTCCAATCGTGTACCGCCAAGGCCTCAGCAGCAGCACCGGGACTGCAAGCTAGCACACACTGACACAGAACATCCGTGTGCTACAGGACGGCCGAGAGCCGCCACACATCCATAGCCCCGGGCATGTCACCAGTGCCACACAAAGCGGGAACACCCGGACCTCGTCACTGCCTTTACGGGACAGCCCCAGAGAGCGAGGCCCCGGGCCAAGCGCAAGCCGCGAGCTTCCCCACCGGCCCCGGGGCTCACGGGCGGCCGCAGCAGGGTGCAGACGGGCCCTTCGGCCCCCGCCTAGAGCCGTCGCTCAGCCCCACTCCGGCCGGGCAGGGGAGCCGGCCCCGCGGGGATGGGGGGCACCGAGGGGCGGAGGGTGCGCGGAGCGGGGCCCCCCAGACGAGCGGGGGGGGTGAGGGAGGGGAGGGAGCGGGGCCGCGGCCGCGCGGACGGGCACTCACGCGGACACCGGCGCGCGCCGGGGTTTTGCTGCTGCCGCCTTTCGCCGCCCGCGCGCCGCCGCCAATCCCGGCCCTCGGCGGAAGCGGCGGCCCCGGCCAATGGCGGCGACGGGCGGGGAAAGGCGCGCTGCCATTGGCCGGCCGGAGGGGCGGGGCCCGGCCGGAGCGGCGCGCGCGGGGCGGGGCGGGGCCCGGCGCGCGGACGGGCCTGTGACCCCCCCTCCCCGGCCGGGAATTGCCCGCGGTTTCCAGGCCTAAAGCGATATTTGTTCCTTAGATTTCCTTTACTGTTATTGCGATTGTGATTATTGCGAAATAATCCAGCCCCAAGTCCCCAGTAAGCTCTCGTTCTCTTTAGCTCCGCTATAAATTCAGTCAAAGGGCCCAGAGGCCCAGGAATGGCTCCACCTACACCATTATAACGGGGGAACAGCTTGATTTGCGGCTTTGCCATAACGCCTGGTTACACAGCAGAAAGGATCGCACAGAATACGAAATTAAATGCGCATCTTGGCTCTGGTCTGGGCTGTAACTGCTGGCCAGCAATGAATAGGACTAGGAAATTTAGTGGAACTCTTGGAACTATTCACTAATGTTTCGCTGGTGCTTGGAGTAGTTGGGTTTTATTGAAATGCAATTGTATGTTTGTAAATAAAATAATTTAGTACTTCTTGCCTATTACCCACTTTTGGCCAATATTTCTTCCTTTTTTAAAGATAAAGGAATATTACTCTTGTTGAAGAGTACCTCTGCTGCACTTAATAATGCATAGAGCTCCTTGTTCACTAGAAATGAACTGAAATACTCTTATTTATTGCATAATTTAGGTAGGTATCTGGAACTGTGGCCCCTGGTAAATAACAGCCAAGCCTGGGGTTGTCAAAGTTCCCAAGGGAATGTTCTAGCTTGGCTTTACCTTATAACAAGCTGTACTTAGGTTAACAAATTGCTAAATGAGAAGCAGGTTCCACCACTTTTGTTAAGTTGTGCTCCCTATTACACATTTTAGAAGGAGGTGGCAGAAATGAGTTGCCGAGCTGCTTTGTTGGTTTTAGCAGGTTTTGGTTTGATGTGTGGGTTTTTCTTTTCCAACAGTTGCTCTCATTTGCACTTTCTGTTTAGGGCTCTAAGAAGTCGGTGCAGCAGTTTGAGATTTAGTGAAGTTAAGTATGCAAGCTCAATAATTTCAATTAAGTGTGTCTGTATTTAAAAGCAGATTATACCAAACATTAATTAAATGAGGTATAATGACCAAATAATGTAGGCCAAATTCTGTTCTTTCTTTTATCCATGTAATCTTACAGAAGTTCAAAGGGCACCGTAAGCGTTCATGGGTGCAGGTTTGTCCTAGTGCTAATGACAAGCAACATCATTCCAAATTAACCTCTTGGGAACAATCTTACCTACAGCCGTGTCTGAGCACTGTTGAACCAGGAATTATATTTGCCAGTTAATACTTGCAAAATAACTGCTGATTATTTACGGGTTGCATACTTAACCTCTGCTGCCTCCTGGCCAGGTCAGAGTTTCAATCAACTTCCTTGGCCTCCCTGACTTGGAGCTGTCCTCATGTGGAATGCCAAATCACCACCATTTCTACACAGCTCCCATTATTGGCACTTCTCTGTCAGTCAAATCATCCATACTAACTTCCTTCTCATCACTTCAGTTGCACTTTCACACAGCAAGAAATCTGCTTTTTTTTATATTTTATCAAGACTCTGTCTGGCTGTGGTTTCTTTCCCTGCAATGTCTCAATTTATCTTGGTTCCAACACCTAAAATTATTTTCATTTAGACACAGGTCATTTATCTACTTGATCATTAGCTCCTCTCCATTTCCTCCTTTATTACTGATCCAAATATGCTGTGCTCTCTCATGCCATGCTTCCAGTGATTCTGGTTCTCTATCATGTCAATTTTTTTTAATTTTTTTTTTCTCATGAGCATAACTGCCTTGTAGTATAATCTCATATTGTTTCTTAATGTATTTCCCTACTCTTTTTAGCCTGCCAGAAACACTAGCCTTGACAGTTGCCTTCATTTATGTCTTGCAAAAGACTTTTTACCTTCTTGTTTCTCCTCTGTTTAAGGAGGAAGTTAAGTCAAATTGGATATGACTCTTCTCATATCTTCTCAAAAGTCACTTCTTCATCAATGTTTTTCTCCATGTACATCCTCACAGGAGATAGATGATATGCACCATTTCCACTCTATTTCCTCAGTACTTGCATAAGTATCTTTAGCTTACTTTTGCTCCATTTTGAATGAATGTAGAAAAAGTAAAGTTACAGCTTCTGCTTCGCATCTGCACAGCTTCTGTGCCTTTGCTGTAGCATGAGACACTCCTTTCCTGTTGGCTTGGATTAGCAGAAACTCCTTCTTCACTCGTGGGGCACGGAAGGCTCCACCTTCTCATTCAACACCGAGCATCCAGTTCCAACCACGCACCATGGTAGGAACTTCTCAGAAGGAAAGAAAAGAAATTACATCAGCGAAAAATGAGAAACAAAGCAGCACATCTAATGCTCTGTGAGCCAAACTGCTGCACTGTCTTCTCTTGTGGCTTTATCTCTAGGTTGGATATGAAGGATGAGAATCCAAATGACGAGCCAGGCCCATGCAGAATGTTCCCTATGGCTGACGAGCAATCGCCAAAACCCGCATCTGGGAGCTCGCCAAGAAAGGATCCAAACATTGCTGTGTGATTGCATCCACTGCTGCCAGAATGTGCAGCTTTTTGTATCTGCTGACAGGCCTAAAAGAATCTGTGCTGACACTAGAGCACATCTATTAACCACTTCCTAGGTCAATTAAAATACAAGCCTCCCTGTGTTTGTACTGTCCACCAGTCTTAGAAAAACAATAAGCAAGATCCAGGAAGGTAATTGATTCATTGTATCCAGCACAAACAGAGGCAGGAGATCCTTAACATCCCCTTGCTGCCAAGAACATTTGTTCATAAATTAGAAAGTTAGAATTAGAAGTCAGAAACTACTTACAAATGAGCAAATAAAAGCAGTTGTTGCCTTGTCAGTATTAGAAATGTATACATATAGACAAAATTCAATTTTAGTAACAGTAGAGACAGTTAAATGTGCTATTCAGTTTTCATTAGCCTAAATGACACACACTTTCCTACTTATAATTACTCTTTCTGTTAGTGATATGATTGTATGGCAAAAGTTTGCTCTTTTTGGCACCAGGTTGAGACAAATCTCTTCATGCTATTGTGCCCTGTAGGAATACTGTCAAATTCAATCATTCAGGACTCATGAGTCTTGCACTAACATGAAGAGATTGATTTGAAAACCATGGGACTAAAGTCCCTTTTTTTCTGTTTTTCATTTTCCATTTCCATTTCTTAACCAGGAAAACTGAGATTGCCAGCTTTGCTCTCACATGCAAATGAGTGCAGCCCTAGAATAATGCACTCAGATGTGTCAGTGACTGTCTCTGCCAGCATTTTCTGATCAGCTATGTCTGAAATATCAA